ATGGTGCACAATTTTTTTGATGTGCCTTTGTATCCGATTCGCCAGAATTTTATTGAGGATTTTTGCATCTAGGTTCATCAGAGATATTGGTCTGTAGTTTTCTTTCTTTGAGGTATCTTTGTCTGATTTTGGAATCAGGGTGATGTTGGCCTCACAGAATGAATTTGGATTATCTGGCTATCGCGCTCACCGGAGAGCTGGGAGGGGCCCTTAAGGTTTCCCCGCTGTGTGGAGAGAAAGGGCTCGGGGATTACACACCTGTTGCCGCTGGTTTCAATAAATTTATCTCCTCTGCCTCGTTTTGGTGACGTCAGTTCTGTGTCATGCTGGTATCCCATGCAAATGGTGACAGTTCATTCCCGTTGCCGGGTGACCAATACAACGGGTGGGTCCTGACTGGCTCTCCCAAGCCCCGTCTCAATCCTGTGGCCACTGCCTATGCAGGGTCGGTTGGCTTTTACTTCCGTAGGATCAGAAGGGCTGACCACTTGTTTCGGCGGGATCGTTATTGCTGAGTCATAGCCGTTTGGCTGCGAAAAGCAGGCGAAGGAGAGCTTGATTGCAGCCGATCCCGGCTCGGTGTGTGTTCTGAGAGGCCCAGACTGTTCGCCCCAGATCCACGTCAGCTCTGCATTGCCTAGTGATCCTGAGCAAACAGCATTTAGACAGTTTACGACTCCCTATGCCCGCGCAGCTTAAGAGGTCAGAGACTTGATCTCTTCGTGCCCGCTGCCATGCCATGTTGGATCTTGAATAGCCATTTTGTAATTTAGAATGAAATCCAAGTTACGGCTCCCAACTCTTGTTTCTCCCTTAAATTTAGGCATTAGGAGGAGTATTAAAGGGACAAGACTGGACGTGTTTTTAAAATGGATGATTTAAGCAATAAGAATTTTCTTTTAGCAGTGTTTATTTTTAAATTATCATTATTTTAATCCTTTGCTGTATGGTGTCTATACAGTTTCGATACCCTACCAAAAAAGTCTCCCATTTCCCTCCCAAAGGATCCCGATCTTAGCTACGAATGTGTACTAACTACATACTTTAAATAACTGTCTTTATTGATTATTTTTAACTTTTCACATGTATCAGAACCATTAATTTATATTTAGTTTTCCAGAAAATCATCAAAATCCGTAAGAAAATAGCTATCCTAGATCAAGATCTTGATGCATATGAATGCATATTTTAACAACTCTTCTGAATTATAGAATTCATTTTCAAATTAATGACCAAAAAATGTTACCACTGTAGTGTATCATCTTACTGTAACATTTTTTTTCTATTGTTAAATGGAAAGCCCTTTTGAAAATTTGGTTAATTTTCCACAGATGACAAATTGTTAAATCCAAATGAATAAATCCAGAAGTATTTAAAGATTTAACATTAATTCACAATATCTTGTTTTAAAGTCTTTTTAAACTGTCATGTGGAAAACGGTTATGAATAGTGTCTAATAATAACATTTGAAACTATCTTTTTTAAAAAGAATTAGCAAAAAAATAGATTACTTAATCAAGGACAGTGTTTCTAACATTCTGTGGTGTACTTAGAGATATTATTGGATAATAATAATTAAACAGATTTATGTTTTAAATGTAGTTAAATCTAAATTGGCAAAAAACAAAACAAAGCACATTCACTCTTGGATTCCTTTCTTATAACTGAGTAGTTATTCACTGTGTGTTCCATCTAAGTGCTCAGTGAATATCTTGATTGAAAATCAGTTCGCCTTGGTCTATAGAAGTTCTAAAAAAAATTGTTGGTCTTCCACTGGGAAGACCATTACTGGATTGGTTATGATAACAGTGGAAGAGTCATAAAGACAGTATGTCTGATAGTTCAAGACTAATGGAAAACTGTAATACAACTATTTTCTAGCTGGGAAAAAGTAGAAGAATAAATGGACATATCAACATAAGCAAGACAAAATGGAGGATAGTTGCAAAACTCATCTTTTTAAAAAAAGATTTGTGAAGAAAGAAAAAAAAATTATCTAAAGCCTTATCCTTGAAAAATGCCCTGTGAATGTCAGTTAATCTAGGACCTGCAGAGTGATCTAAAAAATTCTGCACTGGACAGCAGGAAAAAAAATGATATGGATTTCTACTATATACTTATTTGCTGAATTACTAAAAAGATCTTATGCTTAAAAGGAGGGAGGGTTCACTGTTATGACAACCATAAAAATGTATCCCTAGTGAAGTCACACAATGTATATTCAAATGATATTCTTGATTGGTAATTGGATGGTCTACTATTATTTGAGCATGAATATACAGTAGTAAAATACATCAAAAGAAAACTTTAAAATACAAGTCTTTTTAATTCTATGATTAGAAATGCATACAATATAATACACAGTAATTAACAAATGCCAACACCTGTTTTTGAATGGCACGTGTGGGTGTGGGAATCATAATTTCTACCTGCACTTAGCCCCCTACTCAGAATCAGCCCCATCCTTCTGTAGTCATTTATTTATACTTTTCCCAAGATTGACAAAGTCTGTGAGGATAAACAAATGGGATTGATGGTTAGTAAATTACTGTGTCTAGTATAGTGCCTTGTGCACAGGAGTTGTATCAATAAATGGTTTTACTGAGAGAAATAAAGTTACAAAAATTTATGCTTTTTAAAATTAGAGGATTATAGTTATTCATAATAGTTGGGGTCATACATTCATATAATTTGATTTCAATCCCCATTCCCCACCCTTTTCCTCTCTTCCTTCTTTCCCATCTTTTCTTTCCTTTATTGGTTTTCCTTTCATTTGTTTATTTTTGATCAGTACTTTCTACATAAACATAAAGGTGAAATTCCCTGTGGTACATTTGTATATGCATATTATGTGATTTTGTTAAATTAATTCCACCCCTCCCTTTATGGTCCTTCCTACCTCTCAATCCTCCACTGCACACTGATCTTCCCTAAATATTTATGATATGTGGATCCCACTTCCAATGCCTTCTTTCCTTTATTTTACTCTAGTTTCCACATATAAGAATTGACATTCAATCCTTGACATTCTGAGTCTGGCTGATGTCATTTAGCATGATGTTCTGTTTCCATCCATTTACAGGCAAATACCATAATTTTCTTCTTCTTTATGGCAAAGACTCCATTGTGTATGTATACCACATTTTCTTGATCTATTCATCTATAAAGGGGCACCTGGGCTAATTCCATAATTTAGCTATGGTGAATTATGCTGCTATAAATGTTGATGTGGCTCTATTACTCTAGTATGCTGATTTTAGTTCTTTGGCATAAACACTAAAGACTGGGAGAGATGGGTTGTACAGTGATTTGATTCCTAGTTTTTTTAGGAATCTCTATAATGCTTTCCAGAGTGGCTGTCCTAATTTTTAGTCCCACCACCAATGTATCAGTGTTAACTGTTATGGTTTAGATGTTGTGTCCCCCAAAGGCTCACATGTGAGACAATACAAGAAGGTTTGGAGGAGAAATGATTGGCTTATAGCCTTAAACTAATCAGTGAATTGAGTGGTAACTGGAGGCAGGTGGGGTGTGGCTGGAGAAAGTGGTTCATTGCGGGTGTGGCTATTTTGTATCTGGAGAGTAGAGTCTGTCTCTCTCTCTCTCTCTGCTTTCTGATATCATGTGAGCTGCTTCCCTCTGCCACACTCTACCTCCATGATATTCAGCCTCACCTTGATCCCTGAGGAATGGAGTCTGCTGTCTATGGATTGGGACCTCTGAAACTGTGAGCCTCTAAATAAACTTTTCCTTCTTTATAATTGTTCTGGTCAAGTCATTTAGTCGCAGCAGTGAAAAAGCAGACTAAAACAGTAACTCTCCCCTGACATTCTTACCAACATTTATTATTATTTGTGTTCTTGATAATTGCCATTCAGACTAGGGTAAGATGAAATTTTAGTGTAGTTTTTATTTGAATTCCCTTGATTGCTAGAAAGTTGAACTAACTTTATATATTTGTTCATATATTTTCAAACATTTGTGTTTCTTCTTTTGAAAAATGTCTGTTTAGTTCTTTTGCAAATTTATTGATTGGGTTATTATTATTATTATTGCTATTTTTTGAGTTTTTTACATATTCTGGATTTATTTTTTCGGTGTTAAGTATTTTTAGCTCTTTATATATCCTGGATATTAAACCCCTGTCAGTGGAGCAGCTGAAAAAGATTTTCTCCTATCCTATAATCTCACTCTTCACACCAGAAGCTCACGTGTGAGACAATTCAAGAAGGTTCAGAGGAGAAATGATTGAATTTTAATAGTCTTAACCCAGGCTGGATATGAAACTCAGTGGCAGAGCACTTGTCTCGCATGTGTGAGGCATGGGTTCAATCATTAGCACCACATAAAAATATAAGGGCATTCTGTCCATCTACAACTATAAAAAACAAACAAACAAAAAAACAAAACAAAACCAAGAAAAGAGAGAGAGAGTCAGTCTTAACCCAATCAGTGATTTAATCCCCTGATAGGGATTAACTGAGTGGTAACTGAAAGTGGTAGGGTGTGGCTGAAGGAGGTGGGACTTGGGGGCGTGATTTGGGGTATACATTTGTATCTGGCCAGTGGACTCTCTAAGCTTCCTGATCACAATGTAAGCTATTTCTCTGCCAAATTCTTCCACCATGATGTCCAGCCTTTCCTCAAGCCCCATGGAATGGAGCCAGCCTTCTATGGATTAAAACCTCCAAAACCAAAACCATGAACCCTCAAATAAACTTTTCCTCCTCTGCAATGTTTGGGACCTTTTAGTTACAGCAGCAAAAAGCCAGACTAAAACAACGCTCTTAACCATTTCCTTGCTGTGCAGAGGCTTTTCAATTTCTTGGCTTCCCACTTAGTGATTCTTTTTTTTTAGTTTTAAATGGACACAATATCTTTATTTTACATTTATGTAGTGCTGAGGATCGAACTCAGTGCCTCAAACATGCTAGGCGAGCATTCTACCACTGAGCCACAATCCCAGCCCCAGGGTTTTATTTCTTAAGCTTTAAGAGTTTTGTTGAGGAAGTTGGTACCTGCATCTGTATGGTGGAGTATTGACCTTATGTTTTCTCCCAGCAGTTCCAAGTTTTCTAGTTTAATTCCTAAGTCCTTGATCCATTTGACTTTTGTGCAGCATGAGAGTTTGGGATCTAATTTCATTCTTCTACATATGGATATCCAGTTTTCTCAGCACCATTTGTTAAAAGACTATCTTTTCCCCAGCCCCCTAGATTTTATTTTTTAATTTAATTTTATTTTTTAATTGAATCCAAGGGCACTTTACCATTGA